ATACACATACACATACACATACACATACACATACACATACACATACACATACACATACACATACACATACACATACACATATACACACAAAGAACGCATCGTAACAAGTGCATTCAACTCACCCGTGACTTTGACAGTGTGAATTTTCGAAACATTGCCCACGCTGACGGCGTTACTGACTCTATTGTTGTTGTTATTGTTATTGTTACTGTTATTAATGCTATTATTATTATTATTGCTCTGAGACATAGTAGACGTGCCATTGCCATCACAGGTCTGGTTCAAATTGCCCACACTCATGGTAGAAGTGACGCAAGGCGGCATTACCGATACGTCCTGCAGGATTGAACAATCATCTTAACTTTGACAAATAATTCTTACCACTTCAAGAAGAAACTGAGTTATACATAACGTTTGAAAAATATATTAATCAAGAAAATGCGATTTTTATTAATATTTATCAATATTAAAATTAATATTTATTAATATTAAAATAACTCTGTGAGTTAGTTAATAAATTTATGCGATTCTTCGTTTCTTTAGTTTAAAATTATTTTAGAATTATTAAAATTATTTTTAGAATTATGTTTAATTAGTTAATTTGCCAATAAGTAGTATAAGAACATTCTTTTTCAAATTTGTATCACAATTAAAAATGTTATTAATAAACAAACAAACACATTTTTTATTTAGAAGTTTGCTTCCAATACAAATACAAAAGAAAAGAATCATTTCCTACTTTTAAAAGTGCGGAGTATATTGAATAGAATAGAATAATTATCCAATGTTAAAATGTAAATTTATGATAATTTAAATACAATAAGTGTCCTGATAATTAATATTCATTATAACCAAGAGTTTAATTATGTTATTATAAAATGATCATAAAACTCCAGTATTTCCAAATGCGCTTTTACTATTTCTAATATTATCGAATATTTAGTATGCAAAATTATATAGATTTTTCTCAGTCTTATTTATTTTAATCTTTTTTCTCTGAGTTCATATTAAATAATAAATTCTAATAATAAATAAAATAATTTATAAATTAAAATCTTTCAAGTACATATTTTCTCTGATATATGATGCTGCAAATAGTATTTTATATTACGTAAAGCTATTTTATATTATTTATTTCTTATATTGTGCACAGAATGTTTAAAAAATTGTTATTTCTTTAAGGTATTTTATTTTTAATTCAATTTTTCAAAAGATTTAATTAAAAAATATATTTTCTTATTATATTTGCATTTTTATTATAATTCTCAAAAATTTAAAAAGATGAAACATTTTATTAAAAAAATTCTTTAGCTATATGTAAAACTATTATTTGCACTCGCACTTATAATTGTAAAACTTGTTAACTTGTTACTTTGAAATTGTGCCGATTGAAAAAATTGATAATAAATTGAGCATGTATGAAGAAAACAATAACATTGTGGCACATATTTTTATTTCCTGTTTGCAACAATAATCGTGTATGATTTTCGCTACTCCAAAAGATACGAAAATCATCGGATCAATGATTAATGCCAATTATGTCATATTGATATACTGACATGAAACGAAGCTTTTTACAATGCATGAAACAGAGACACGTGGTAAAGACTTACCTTGTAATTATCGTAAAAGCTCACCGGCCGGCTTCTCGGTACGTACTGAATCTCTTCGTCGGTCTGCATCGTGCGTGTGCCGTGTGACAATATTCCTAAGGGATGCGCGCGCAGCTCGTAGGACGTCCTCCGTAGGTCACTCTCCCTTCTTCCTCCACTTCCGGTGGATCTGCTAAGGTGAGCACAGACAGCGTGACGATACGTAATGAGACCACGGTTAGAGAGTAGTAAATTAACGTCGTGATGCGCAGTTACGTGGTAATTTTATGTGCATAAAAAGAATTGTAAATAATAATTACAAGTCTCGCCTTTAAATGGAAGATAGTGATTACTAAATCGTTGTAACTAATAAACTAATATATTACTTCAGCTTATTTCTATATTCAATAATCTATTAATAATATAATTAGAAAAATATAAAACACTTAACAATATTTGTCAATTAATATCACATAATTAATGATTTTCTCTTGATATTTATCAATATATTATTATTATTATCATTTTCATCATTATAATGATCAAAATACTTTTCAAAATTGTAAAACGTTCATCTATTGATATTTAAATGTTCTTGTCAGAAGAGTTGTTAATAACAAATATCATCTCCTTGCTGCACACAAGTCCTTTGCTATTTCCGCAAAAACGTATTTGAATTTAATATACCCTTCACGTGTGATTGATGACTCACAGATTGCCAATTGCAAGTAATTTCGGAAGGGAACTTCCTTCTAATACCATCCGATGCGTCGTAAGTCACGCGTCCGCATCGTGAGGGATGTGCTTGTGCATAAAAGAGAGATGATCACGTGTCCGATAAGGCGAAATCGAAAAGGTCTACGATTTCCTTAATGTCCTCGTCCACGTGCCCAACCATGTGCGTAACGCATCTGTCACTCTATAAATGTCTGGAAAATTGGGAAAAATTGCCCGCGTGAGAGTAGCTTAGATCGGCATCATTTATTTGGATAAATCATTCATCAGAAGAATGACTGTATACTCTCTTTACTCTGAAAATAACCAATCTCATTATTTCCATACCATTCCATTCTAAACAAATATAGATAAACGTATAATTTTTTTTTCAAAATAGCAAATATAAATAATTTGCATCAAATGATTATTTAAAAAAATATATATCTATTAATTAAAAACAGAAAGAAGTGACTTTGTAGAACTTTTTGTTATTTAATACTTACGATAAATACAATAAGTTAATAAATAAAATGTCTTTCAAACGAATAAGAAAACATACTTTTTCTCTTTCGATTTAATTCAATCAATGTGAACAATCTTATGATGACATAACAGTGTCATCATACATATATTAAATAATAAAATGAGAGAAAACTCAGTGTGATGAAAATTGTTGCGTTTATATCAATGCTACTTAAATTCGTGCTACTATTAAATGAACTTGATCATCGTTTTGTAAATAATAATTCTCCTAAGTGTTATATTATATAAGGCAGAGGCTCTTGATTTTATCGCTTTTCTGAATCCCATGAGCTATCCTGCTGCTCGCAAAAAAGGAAACTATACTTCTTCGAGAATTCCGACACAAAATACATTAAAGCAGTTTCGGCGTTATGGCTTCTTCGGTCTCGCGAGACATTTAAGTGCTGATGAAACTTTGATTTCGACTAAACAACATTTCCCAAGCCATTAGCACAAGTGACATTTCATGTCTAGTTAATGAAGGGTATCTCTTGAATTTAAGAACAGGGAACGAGGATTGTTTCAAATTCTAGCGCGACATATGTGGCAGCCACATAGAGTATACGTCTCGCAACATATCTCGAATTTTGTCTTCGTCGTCGACACGT